CTTTTACTTTATACTATTTTATTGTTTAATTCATGTAAAGCACTTTGAGCTGTAGTTGTTATGAATTGTGCTATAGAAACAAACTTGCCTTGCTTAACATAAATAAACTGAATTGAATTCAATTGTAACCTCAGAGGTTCTGATCTGTCCATGAATACGTCATGTGACCCAGAGCGTCGCTTAAAGATGATAAGTACAGAATTCATGCTCTTTTCAGAACTAGATTTTGTGTTTTATGGGGTAAAGATAAATGATGATGTGTCTCTGCAAGTCATCTAGGAGTCTTCAGTGAAATTATAGATAACTATTTTAATAAAAAACGTATTAAATAATCAATTTTTGTAGATATTAGTTCTTGTAAATATCAATTTTATGCAGAATGATTATCGATAAACGTAGGTAAGTAATGACAATGGAAAAGACGTTTACCCCAGAACTCATACCTGAAAGTAATTTATCCAATATACTTCTTATCTAGAAAGCATGGATGTTTAATATATGCGTCTATTTGTTAGCAAAGGATGTAGGAAAGTATAGTTAGTCTTATCGTTGGCTTGACCCTGAGGTTCTGGTGCCTATCCGCTTTTGGCCCCCCCTCAGTGTACATTGGTTATTGCCTGGCCACCCTTATAAAAATGTTCTGGCTACGCCTCTGACGTAAGTCTGAGCTCCCTTTAAACACCAGAGCTAACTAAGCTAACAGCTGTTAGCTCTGAATAGGCTAACTAAGCTAACAGCTGTTAGCTCTGACTAAGCTAACTAGCTAACGGCTGTTAGCTCTGACTAAGCTAACTAGTTAACGGCTGTTATCTCTGAATAAGCTAACTTAGCTAACAACTGTTATCTCTGAATAAGCTAACTAAGCTAGCAGCTGTTATCTCTGAATAAGCTAACTAAGCTAACAGGTATATCTATGAATAAGCTAACTAAGCTAACATCTGTTAGCTCTGACTAAGCTAACTAAGCTAACAGCTGTTATCTCTGAATAAGCTAACTAAGCTAACAACTGCTATCTCTGAATTAGCTAACTAAGCTAACAGGTATACCTATGAATAAGCTAACTAAGCTAACATCTGTTAGCTCTGACTAAGCTAACAGCTGTTATCTCTGAATAAGCTAACTAAGCTAACAACTCTTAGTTCTGAATAAACTAACTAAGCTAACAACTCTTGGTTCTGAATAAATGAATTAAGC